AACTCTTACAAAAAATAAACACATACACACATATATATACATTTCTATTAAGAGTACTCCCTCCCTAGGCCATACTATTCTAATCTGCTTGTGTAACTAAAACGCTACCTTCTTTTAGTACTTACACTATTTAACCATCAAGCCACTAATTGGCTTTTAAAACCACCAGGATCTTTTTCACAACTCCACCTGTGGAAACCTTAACCCTCCTCTTTTGCAGCAATCCTCTGTTCCTTTCTTAGGATCCTTCTTAGAATCTTATTCTCCCTTGATCCTCATTCACTTTAAGCCTATTTTACCACTCTCCTACAAATCTCCATCCGCTTCTAGTCTTTTTCTATGCCTGAAGAGTCTCCAGATAGCTCGTTGCCTTCAAAATATCCCAGTTCTACCTAAAACAGAAAATCTTCACGTTGTCAGCAGCTAACATCTCTGCTGAAGAAGGAAATGCAAAGTTGCCCAAACAACAAGATCTGTAAAATCACAGAACAGTTTTATTCTCTCTCAGATGATTTTATGGGTGCCTTAAGGGTATGTTTGGCATTAAACTCTTAATACACCATGTTGGTCTTTTTCTCAGGAAGATGTTCCTTCTAGCCAGAAAAGCAGCAGCAGCCTCTGGCTTTTTATTTTCCACTCTACATCTGTCAGGTCTTCCCAGTCTGTGGACTGAAAACTCCCAAACGTGCATCAGAGATGCTTAACTCATTCTACAGCAAGGCAACATTTTTCAGATCAAACTTGCTTCTTCGTTTACTGTCAAAGATGTATCTCAAAAGCAGCAGCAATGTTTCTTTCTGCTCTTGAACAAGAAAGATTTTCTGCATTGAATTAAGATGCCTGGCTAGACCTAAAATGCCGAGCTTTCAGGATTTAAAGATGGCTCTTTTGTTACCACACTGTCCAATTCTTTGGCTTTTGCTTCCCCTAAAATGTTTCTTACTACACAAAGAGGATAAAAATACTTATCTTTGCAATCACAGCATTGGCCCTATAGAGAGGGAACACAGGAGGCATCTTCATTCAGCACCAGCTAGACCAAGTCACATAAGCAGTGAGGGAGCATCCCCACAACCTCTTAAGATTAGGCAGTCTTCTTGGCACAGGAACCCCAGAAGTTCCCCTCCCCCCTCCATAATAAACGAATCACTGTTGGGCCAAAAAGTTCACTTTTATTCTTCAATAGTTTAGCAACAAGCCCCTTCTAGCCCAGTCCACCTACAACATCCTATAACTCATCTAACCAGCCCCATACCTAAGGGGTTACTTCAAATGCCTTCAATGACATCTGAAAATAAATAATTGACATCTGGAAGCAAGCAATTCACCAGTCCTTCAACTTCAGTACAACACTTTGAAGAAGCAAAGCCTCAGGGGAATTCTTGCTGGCAGAGGAAGAGGAATTCTCCCCAGAGGTTTCAGTTCATTAAAAGGAAAATGTTTTTTTAGATGCAGATCAGTGCACACAGAAAAGCAGGTACAATGTCTTGAGACAATGCCATAATCCTGCCAGTGGGTTCCAATTACTCTCATGAAGGTATAACCATTTTTGATCTTGCTGTTCAAGTGACCTCAGCACCCCACCTTCACTCTTGACTATCAGCAGCAGTGTTTTAGCAATGCTTACCAAGACAGATTGATGGGTTGAACACAGGACCTCAACAGATTCAACCACAAAAGCTGAATTTTTGACAGACTAAAGCTACCCATCTCCTCCTACCACTTGTTTCTTCCTTATTACCCATGTATCATGCTGAGGACATATCTACTCCACAGCTTTACATACCAGACATGAGCTATTCTAGCAGTATTTGCAGTTACAGCCCAGGCTGATGGTCGGCACAGTTCAGAGCAAAGTTACTTCTTGTTCTCCCAAACTTTTCCCAAATGATTGGCTCAGGTAGATATAAAAAGGACTCAGAAATAGAAGGAAGCTGCATAAGAAGCCAGACAAGTCTGTATCTTTGACCTAACAGGCAGCAGTCATCAAGAGGATGATGTTGAGTCAGAACCTGGATTTAAGTTCACAATTTCTCTTGAAGAACAAACCATGCCATTCATCACCCCTTCTGCTTCTTTCTACAATGAAGCTCCTACCAGCTTCCATCTTCCTCACTGTAGCTCAAGAAGCTGAATCGGACCAGGCAACTCTCAAGTTATTTCCTAAAGCAGCTTATTTTTCTGCTAGCAGCCATAGCCAAGAATTGAAAGTCCCTTAATGTATGTGCCAGGAGTAAAATTCAGGCATTGGATAAGAACTCAGGATTCAGAAAATTCCATAGCTCTTTTCCCACCTCCCACTCTATGAAACCAAAATTTGACAGGTGGTAAAATTTCACATCCACACTTTTAAATACTTCATGATAAATATATTCCCCTTAGACTATGTATCTCCATATAAAAACAAAACAAACAAACAAAAAAACCCACAAAAAAGAAATACAGGAACAAAGTTCAAACTAAACAGATCGAATTTCAGAGTTCAACAAAGTTTTACACAAAATTTTATGTATTTAGAACAGATACAGAAGCCAAATATGCTTCCCAATTCCTCCCAAAGTTTCATACACCCATAACATGCACACAGGAAAGATTTTAAGACTTCTTCTGAGCACAGGAAATGAAAAGCAGGAGTATCCACTGGAATATAACCAGGGTCAAGTTCTGTGATGAGATGTTCACCTTTCTTGTTTAACTAAAACAAAACATTTTTTTGCCTCAGTTTACTCTCTCTGTTCCTTCAATCCTCTCTGGCAGCCTCTCAAAACTTTCACAAGCAGCATCTCTCTCTGCATTTTAATGAAATACTTATTTTATTTGTTTTTTTCTCAGGTCATTTGAAATTAATGCTATAGAAGTAAAAGGGATCCTTTCAAGCACAATGAAATATATTCCCTCTCTCAAACTGAGGGGAGTCATCTTTCCCAAGTACAAGGGATGAAAACAGAAATGGGGCATAGAGATGAATCTCAGCCTACCCATATGACAAAAGTATAATGGGAATTCTAGCTCATAGCCACTTATATTAACCAGCAAAACATCACATGTATTTCTCATAGTACAGCAGTGTCTACTCACATGCAGGTCCTTTGGATTTGCTGAGCCAACCTAGGACAGACAAAGGGAAAATTCAGGATTACTACTACGTTTGCTTTAATTCATCCTTCAGCCTTTAGAACTGGTTAAAATTAAACGAGTTGTGTGGCTTCTTGAGATCCCTATTACTCCCTTCACAACAGCTGCTTAAACAACACTACCTGGGTCAGTGGAGTAACAGTATGAATTTTACTGCTTTTGAATTTGAATAGCCTAATTCTGGGCCCATGTGCATCTGCTTCCTAGCCATTTCTGTGGCTTGGCCATTATTCCGCAAGTCCTCACCCTGCTCTTCTGTATCATTCTGTTCTTACTAAGCTCTCTTAAGCACTCCAGAAGAACTGTAAAGAGGAATTGCACCTGAAATGACTCTTCCTTCTCTCCACAGAGAACTAGTGAATTCTGTGGGCATGAAGCATGCAGGTTAGAATCAAGATCCTCTGGCTCATGTACAACACCTCCCCACATTTCTGTCTGGTTATCCAGCAGCATCTGGTTATGCTGTAGCATCCTTGTCTTCATGACATTCAATTCATCCCTAGCCATATAAACACGTTCCTTTCAGAGGCACAGAGACAAAGGAAATCTCTGCTTTGCACAGATCCCCAAAGAACAGGAACAAGTCTGAATCTGTTCAATGACTGGAGTGTGCTCTAACACGCTGTGCTGTGCAATGCAAACAAATACCAGTGGTATCTTCTGTGTAGAATAACCTTGGCACTGAAAAGACCTTAGAGCTGCATGCAGCAGATTGGCTGCATCTGCGTCACAGACAACACGTAGAAATGAAGTCATTTCAGATCATTCGAGTTCAATTTATCACTTTAATGGCAGTCCTAAAAATTAGAGCGAGCTTTATAGCACTTACACATGTGATCAGTCAAGAAAAATCAGGCTGTGTCTCAATCTAAATTGACTTAGATTCATTGAACCTGCATTACTATTTTAAAAAGTTAATATTTATTTTAATCTCCCTTCTTTATAGGTATTGATATTGGCTTAATTCAGGATGTTGAATACTTTTACCAACACCTTTACTTGCATTTCCCAGGATCAGGTGATGCTATTATCAATAACAAAGGAAGCAACCTATGTTTTGATAGGTTTCTGACAGAGCTGGTTATGAATCCAAGAGAGATTATGCCATTTGGAACACAAACAATAGACAGCTTTGAAAGCAGTTTAAAGACTACATGTTAAACTTTAATGAACAACTTATTCTAACCCACTGTCACCCTTCCAAAAAATAGCATGGTCAGACAGGAGGATGAATATTCATGTCATAAATACAAAATCTTTAAGAGCTTGGGAATAACTTCAAGGGCTAGAGACGGAAGGAAGGACAAAAATAAAGCAAAATAAAAATTACAGGAACAAAGGAAGAACAGAGAAGCTTTATCTGTAGAAAAGCAGACAGAATGGTTGTTACTGCTCCTTTCCAAAACTTCAAAAATTCCCCATTTCTATCTACTAAGCACCCTGTTTTTTAGCTACATTCCAGAAAAAACCTCAAAGAGAATAGAAGTCAGATGAAGAACTAAGCCTTTAACATCCTGTTTTCCAAGTGTCCTCACCTGTTTATTCCTTCATTACTTCCCCCAATTAATCTCAGAGAACTTGCTAGACAGGGGAAAAAGGCACAACAGTGATAAAGCTCAAACTATTTCCAAGCAGCACTGAAGTTTCCATAAATCCTCCTCTTCTGACAACACTTCATTGCTTGCCCATCACCAAATGCTGCATTTGTTTTGTGCTAAAATATGTGCAGTGGTTATTTTTATATTCATTAATATCTTCCTGTGAAAAGGGAGCAGTTTTCCCAAATTCTGCAGTGTGCTTAGTGACTAAGCAACTTATCTTACTCATCTCATGGCACTCCAGGATATTTGAATAGATTGCTTGAGACAAAGTACTGAAGATTTTTCCTAAAAATCCATGCATAAATAAAATCAATTTATTACCAGAGGACAGGCCAGATGCTTGCTGACTGGAAATGAGTCTGCCCTCTGCATTAACTATGTAGCAAAAAGAACACACTCCTGCCCAGAACACAAATATATCTCAGCCTCCTGGAACTCGAGCAATAGAATTTCTAAACAGCTGAAGTACTGCAATACAATATATATCATATGGTTTTAAACATATGAATCAAAAAAGCTCTGCTTTCTCACTCAGAGCTGAGCCAGCCATTGTCTCCATGCTTGTCTGTCTTTTTATGAGAACATTCTTCAGCTTTGTAGCAATTGTGAGCATGTCACATTGGCCCCACATGCAAGATAAGCATTACCACCAAGGGATTTAATACAATCTCTTGCTTCATGTTAACATTACTTTGCTCTGCCTGCTTTGAATGACTCTGCTTATGTAAAGTAATAAAGTAAGGATGCTGTGGTGGCTGGGGGACAAAGAAGAGGGAAAGATTATTTTCCAAGCGCCTCGCCATTATTCTTTGTTTCTCCATCTGGCTCTCAGCTCCTCAGCTGACTTCTCATTTATGTTACTCATGGCTGGCATGCTGCTGCAGGTGCAGCTCTACAGGACCATGACCCATTGCTGAGCACCCCCATCCCACCCAGCAATTGGCAAACAGGTTGTACCTCCCAGTCTCAGAAAACCTGTACATGGAAGTGCTCCTTAGTGACCCCTTCCCCTCCCACAGGATTTTTTTCCCTTGCCCCTATGCTATGATCTTGGGCTCCCCTCCACAGGCACTCACTTTCTCACCTCCCCCACAGGAAATGGTTCATGCCTAGCCACTATAATCCTATTTAGCTGATGATTTGTCTTGATCAGTTTACCACAGCTGGTTTCAGGTCCTGAAGCAAAAGGAACACACAAAGGGAAATAATGCAGAACCACTCTTGGGTCTTCTGACATGCTTAACTAGTGCATTTATTGATGTGACAGGATGCCTCAAAAATGATACTAAAAAGGCTTGCCAGTATTGCCTTTCCCCATCCAGCAGCCCAGTGCAGCACAAGGCATTTGCATACTGATTACAGACTCAATTGAAGATGTTGCAGTGCGTAATGGGAGTTTCAGATGGGGATGGCGTGCTCCAGCCCCAGGCTGGGAGGCATATCTGACAGGCTTACATCTGAAATGAGGCAGTGACATTATCATCAACAACAGCAAGACTGGAATAAACAAGGACACACCGGATGCAAAAAGATTTTGTTCCTTTCCCACTCTCACTATCTGTTGTTGCCAATTTGCCATGCTCTCCTGTGTGTCCCCCCACCCCTCTACCTTAAAAGCCAGGTCAGGAAGACACACAAGTTTGGGATATCTGATTTCAGCTGCCTCTCCCTTCCAACTTGAAGAGCCAGAAATATTAAAAGGAGATCAATACCTCCTCCTCCCTACAGGATCACTTTGACTTTGAGTGCATCTAGCAATTAACATTTATTCTGCTCTACCACACAGATGCCAACTCAAGCTTCACTCATACTGAGGAGTGTGGTCATGGGACAGTTTCAGGTGCCATATGACAAGTAAATACGGCTATTTAAAGTTATGTCTAGAACTGGGGTTTGTTTTTTAAAGGCAAATTATTGCTGTACATTGCAACAGCAGCTGATGTCAGATCTACTACATGCCTTTTTGGGACTAATCTCCTTTGAGCACACAAAGTTACTCTTTTCCTGCCATTTATGATCAGGCACTCTATACAAACAAATACTACATCACAGCTGGTCTGAGAGAAAAGACATATTTCAGAGTATACTGGGTAAACAACTTCACATCATGTACCACTTACTGTGAATATCCAGTATATTTTCTTCTTTCACTTAATTTTAAAAGGCAGATCCCCTAATTTCTGCTGACATTTTACATGCACTGCTATTTACATTATTCACAACACTTGTCCATCAAATAAACATCAAGAAGTTAAAAAGGGGTAAGGGACTAAGAGGATCTACTTAGAGGGGTGCGGTTAGCAGGTGCTAAGGTGTAAGAAGATAGCACACAAGGAAACAATGAACAGATTCATCAGCTGTGGAAAGCTGAAGACAGTCTGTGCTTCCAAAACTACTTCAAGTGAGCAGTAACTACAGGGTATAGTGTCTACACAAGAATCTCCCTCAACCAAAATGTGATCCATGCTCTTGAGACAGTCCAAGTGCCCTCAGCTGCAGCGAAGGGATGAGAATGGAGGGGGAAAAAGGTTGGGGGAATCAATATGACAGGGTAAAGGACAAGCACTTATTTACTAATATGCAAGGCTCATTCAGTTCAGACACTGTCCTCTGTTTAACAAGTAGTGATGGAATTTTTCCTGTGAGTAATGAATGATGTGTATAAATAGATCAGTCATCACCAGCTTTCCCATAAAAATCTAAGGCCACCTCTATACTTGCACATCTCGCCCTCCCTGCAGCACATGCAAAGGTTTCACTTACCTGTGGCCTGTGCTTCCAAGGTAGATGTACCAAAGATAACTAGCAGAATAAATAATCCATGGCTAGTCAAGGCAAGAGACGATCCTGTGTTGCTCTTTGGTGCTACCATTCCATGGCACATCTTTTACCCACTGAAGTTTCTTTTTAAAAAATTCCTGTAAAATCTGGTTGATCAGGAGCACCTTGGGTCTACAAAAAAAAAAAAAAAGACAAAGAAAGAAATAGTGTTGAGTCAAACACCTACAACACCTGGGAAGGGAAGGAATATGAGAAGTTCAGAAACAAACAAGAGTGACCTTTTGCATGTTCTAGCCTTGAGGAATCTTACCAAGTATTCACAATTCAAAAGGTAACATGAACAGAAAAGGCAATCTTCCACACAGGAATACTAAAAGGAGAAACATTATAAAAAGAACTTTCCACGCACCTTCTAATATTTCAGGTGTGAAGACTGCCTAGCTTACAATTACTTTTAGCTTTTCCTTTCAAGACAACCCCAGAGGATATAGCATCTCGAGAATTTGTTTCAAAATAACTTCAAGAGAGTCAGCCTTCCTACACCCCCACTACCTTTCAGCAGGTCTCCAAGACACAGGAGACTGTAGTAGACAGCTAGGATAAATCAATCAAATGCTTCTTCAGCCAGCTGGAGAGGCACAGCAAACCTGACAGCCAGCCGGCAGGCAGGCAAACACACACTTGTGAGGAAGAATGTAAAACAGCTTGCAGTCCTCAGGTATAATGTTCTGACAAGGCAGAGCATAGCAATTAAAATTGCAGGATGTGACACTGCTCATACCTGAGGACTGAGGGATTCAGCCATAGCCTATCAATTGCTGTCATGGCAAAAACAGACTCGTACATAAACACGCAAAGCCCAGTTGGGAAATCAAGAAAGCACAAAGCTGAGCCCCTATTTTTATTGAAGGAAAAATATCCAGCAGAATACATGTCCCACCAAACTAGTATGGTTTTAACCTTCAAGACCTCCAATGGTAACTTTGAACATGGATGAGTAACAAGGTCATGTGTAACTCCAGTGCTCACGAAAGAAAGCTGGGACTAAAAACCTAGGTGTGCTGGTTTTACAAAGGAGAAAACTGACATAAAGACAACTGTGTGAGTGGTGGAATACAGAAAAACCCCCAAAAAACTAAAAAACACCTAAACAAAAAACACATGGAGACACATATCAACACTCCTATTATGCTATTCCTTACACAAGCATCTAAAGCTCTATTGGAATAAAAAAAATTGCAGAAATGAATGTTTCTTTATATTTTACCACAGGACTATTTTTTATTTTGAGGGAAACCCCTTTCAGCCACAACTTCTTCAGTTACATGGATATTCACAATGAAGGAGTATTTATGGTTTTTTTGCCAAGTTTCCCATGCAAGGTCAAAACTGCTGGATAACTCTAAACCAAGTTGAGAGGTGCAGAGGCGGGTATCACTCTTTCGCACCCTGTGAGAACAGAATGGAGAACTGCGTTAGTGCTCCTACTACTAGGGAAGTCGAATGACTTTCAGACTTTTACGTACTTCTGAGATGAAGTCAACACGCCAGTGCTGATCACAGAACCACAGACTCAAACAGTCACAACTCAAATTTCCTATTACTCAGGCAAAAAAGAGGCTGCATTATAGGAGGGAATATGTAAATTTGTCATTAAACCTGGAAGTCATCCTAGTGAAAAGTGGTTTTCCATAGTTACATGTCACTGCTTTGCTCAGGTTTACTTCACAAAAGGCATATCTTTAAAATTTGGATCTTTCAAGTCAATTAGTCTATACCAAAGAAGACTTCCCTGTTTGCATACACCCCCGCCTTGAAATGTCATTTCAAGATCTTTAAGGTCCCTGCCAGCCTTAACCACTCTATGATTCTATGATGACATTTAAACTGCCATGAGGCAATTCTGGAGCTGATGCTACAATAAACTCTATGTCTGCCCCTTTTGATTTTTGTTTCATTCAGAGGGGGAGGGAGATAAGTGAAGCTATCCCACTCAACTCTGTAGCACAGCCTACAGATTTCTCATGTCTCTCTAGGCCAAGGAGCCAATGCTTTGTTCAACAAACTCCACCATGTAGAAAGGAGCAGGGACAGTGCCACTCACCTGCTAGAATTCCTTCAACAACAATTAGACCATGGAAATAAAAAACACACTTCTGTGAAGAAAGTCAAGCCAGCTAGTTTGTACATCTGCCCCTTCCTCTCAAGTCAGGTGTCCTGCATCCATTTCAATATACAACTGAAAGAGGCCATCATCTGCCCTATACTCCGGGCTGTCAGCTGGCTGCTTCTTCTACAAGTCACTGCTTAACACTGAATTACAGCTCTGACAAAGCAATGCACCATGTTTAGCCCTTCCGATTAGATCAAGACAGGTCTGTCATCCCCATTCCAATTTAATGAAGCCTCATTAGTATAACAAACTCTGCAAGTCTTGCCAAGGTATCTTTTAAAGGTGGCCTTCCCTGCCCTCAGAGCAGTGCTTGCCAGATGACATATCAGTGGCCAGGAGAGTTAGGGAAGAGGTCATGCAATTATCACAGAATGTGCTGAGCCACCTGATGTGTGCTGCCTTGGACCAGAGGTGTTTCCTCTCTCCAAGATCGCATGGGGAAGTCAGCAGTTCGGTTCTGGTCTCTGAACAACAACGAAGTTAGAGATACCTAAAACAAGCCTATCTTCTGGGGGAATCTATTATGTTTATTTGCGATTCCCTAACAGATTGCTTCAAAGCAAAGAGCTTTCCTCTTCTGTCATCTAAAGTCAGGCACAGTTTCCCCATCCCTTTTCAGCTACCAAGTCATTTGAGTCCCAGGTTATCAGGGATCCTGTCAAGAGGCAGAGGCTGCCCCTCAAGCAATGTTGTAAATTGCTGCTGCTATGCCGACAAGAACATCCCACTAAACTGATTTAGTTCAGTTCGGGATTTGAAGGAACCATAAAGGCAGCAAAATCACTTAGTGGAAGATAGCATCAATAAACTCCCCAGAGTTGTTGGGACACAATGAGTACAGGTAATGCCTCCAAAGATCCTCCCTCAGGCTTCAGCCAAGCTACAAAACTTGTTCCCAGCCTTGACTTTTCCTTGGCAAAATTAGAAGATGAAAGAGATCCTGGCTAGATAAGAAGGTATCCTTGCTTCCCAGAGGGGAGCTGGTAGTTGGGAAGCTATTTAGACAAGACATTCAATTCTCTGGAAGTCGACTGTTGTTTTAGCACATTCCTTACACCTACAGTTCAGGGGGAAGCAGCTTTCATAACAACTCTTCAGGCCTCCACCTCCAAAAGTTAACTGGAGTGCACTGTAGAGCACACACCTTTGTCAGAGACAATCTCAGGGAGATAGATTAACAATTCGTGGGTTTATGTGAATCAAAACGATTCCCTGTTTACACACAACATTAAGAAACAGGCTGCTTTCTTTAATGGATCCTGGAAACAATGAGGCAGAAGCTGCCAGTAGCAGGAGTACACAGAGCAAGGACAGTTCAGGCTCGTTTCACATGCCTATGCTGAAGGGTTATGGGAGGATTAAGTTTAAACAGAGATGTTTTCAAAGATAACATTTAGTACAGCCAGCAGTTCTTATGAATACAGTAAGGAGGGGAGGAGAGATTTTGCTCTGTTAACAGTCCACCAAAAGCTCTATTGACTAATGTAATTTATTTTTTTTTTGCTTTATTTTTAATGTGGACTTTTAAAAACACCTATTAAATACAGAAAATAAAAAACATCCTCTATGACCACGAAGTCAATATCCACATACCCTCTTAGTAAATGCTACGAACAAGGGGAAAAGTTCTTTACTCCCCAGGCTACAGACAACCCGAGCTCTTTCTCTTCCTGAAGTCTTGCCAACAAGCAATCTTCCCAGTGGTGCTTCAGCATGTGCATGGTCAGCCCTACTTGCACAACCAGCAGCAGTTTGCATCTACACAGACTCCCTGCAGCAGGCATCAGCTTGCACTGAAACCAGGCAGGCCAGACTTTCTGCTCACTTTTAAACCACAATCAGCCGTTTCCAAAGATGACGCACTCGCATATGGCAGGAGCTTTTTCTAAGATAAGCTGTGTGGGGACCTCTGCCATTTATCTTCTAGACCTTCAGGAGATGCCAACTCATATCCCTTGAACCAAGATCCTTTTGCAAGCACACATTATTTTCCCAGGACTATGACTAATTTTCTGATTTTTTCCCCATTTTGTCACAGCAGGATTCATAGGTCTCTGAGGAAAAAGTGTTCTTTGGAAAGTCATAGGCTCAGGACATGAAGGAGAACCAGGTTTGGGTAGTTCTGCTGCACCAAGAACATATGGTATCAGGGACAGGGATGGGACAGTCTGAGGCTGTCCAGCTGTTCAAGATGTCTGGCACAACTATGTCCTATGTCACTGTTGCTGGAAAATAAGTCTTTTCAACCTGAATTCTTCACCATTTGTTCAGGGAAGTGCTCAGTATGTTTGGAATGCTACTGGCTTGCTTTTAAATACCATACTTGAAACTTACCGAAAGAAAATAAGCTATTCTCGTGAACATCAGAAATCTGGTTTAGACAGTTTCCTCCTCACAGAGTAATACTCAAAAATTGTTTGCCATCTCTTGAATGCACACAGCAACGAACCTGGGAGGGAGATGAGTGACAGGTGTGCACAGCGTACCTTTTGAAAGGCTAAAGCACAAGGACTATTCTTGCCTCAAGGTCATGCTGCAGGTGGAACCTAATGTCAGCAGTGTGCTTCACAGGATTTAACCTTCAGTTCTTAGTTGCTGGGTTTGTTGTATACTTATCTTGTCTGCTTTCAATGAGTATGCAGGCTTCAAAACAGGAAGTATTCATCTCAGCTGCTTAGTGAGAAAAGTTACAGAAAAAATGAAGTGCAGGTGCCAGGAGAAAAAAGAAATCCCTAATTCTACTTTCTTCTGCAGCTAAACTAGTTTAATTGAAAGCTTTTAGGAACAGAATGCTATTTTAAACAATCTGGGATAACTTCACAGTTCGATTTAACTGTTCAGTTAAACTAGACACAAAGGAAGAGCCAAAACATTCAAAGGTATCTGCAGGCACTTCAGAAAAAAACTAATCATCTGACTTTTCAGCACAG